ACGTCCGTGCCAAGTATCTCAAGTTGCCGTAACACGAGCGGCGAGTTGCATCGAGCGTTCGAGGCAATTTTGTTTCGCCGTCGCGGGGCATCGCGAATGACGTTACGAGATAAATGTAGAAATAAGCGCGATTAAGCGCGCGGCGGCGATAGTAATAGATAGCGTTGGACAACGTCTAGTATTTACACGTAGAGTATCTACGCGATGCTCGAGTAGACGTAAATTTGACAGCACCTTACTCAGTCGACTCGTGAAGATTGCACTCCTTATGACTGATTCATATAGTACTCGCATTTCTATCATATTCTATCATATTCATGGAGAGTGGCGAAATAGAAATATAATCAAACTTTGTTCGAAACAATGTGGCATGTAAAATGTGAAAAGGGTGTGACCAAGTGCTTATAGGCTAATAGTCCGCTTTTTTATTAAAAAAAAAATTTTAATTCAGATTGATATTATTTTATAGTTTTTGGAACGCTGATTACGAATATACAAGCTCTAAAGTAGACCAGCGTAACTGTTCTAAAAGAGAAAAAAGAGAAAATGGCCCACTTAAAACTGTACCTCACTAGATGGCGCTACTTATTTTCACAAATAAAAAGTGAAATTATGACAATTTGCAATGACAAAATCATCTTCAGCAAGTCATAGCAGTAGTTCCAGATATTATTCTTGGAAAAAGCATGACTAAATTGAATCTCAAAAGCGTTCGATGGATTCTAGTAGATTCAGACAGTTGTAGATTCAGATAGTTGTCACGATCAAATTGAATCAGTTGGCTCGTTTAATTATACTTTGAAATTACCAATAAAATCAAATGCGAGCTATCAGAAAGTAAATTGTATTGCAAATTAACATTTTTATTTTGTGAAAATAAGTGGCATCATCTAGTGGAGTACAATTTAAAATGGGCCAATTTCTCTGGGACAGTACGTCGGTCCACCTTGGGAATTGTATATTCGTAATCAGCGTGCCAAAAACTATAAAATAAGACCAATTTGGATTCAAAACTTATTAAAACATAGAGCTTAGTAAATTAATTAATAAAGCTTAGTAATTAAAAAAATATTCTGGATAATAATGCTGCAATTCTAAGCAGAATCGTAAGTCTCGTAACTTGTTCTCGTAAAATTTGTCAGAACTTATGAGTAGATTTACAAGTCTATGCAATATCATATGTCGTACAATTACTCGTAAATATCTACGATTTCATGTAATTTACGATATTTACAAGTAATTGTACGACATATGATATTGCATAGACTTGTAAATCTACTTATAAGTTCTGACGAATTTTACGAGAACAAGTTACGAGACTTACGATTCTGCTTAGAATTGCAACATAAATTATAAATTTCCATCATCGATTGTTTTATATCATGAGGATATGTGGTAACACGCGTATTAGCGTACATATATTCAATATAGAGTATATAAATTATTTAATCAATTAACTGAAAATATTGATAATAATCTAGTAGATATTTTTATCATATGTCATTATTTATCATATGTTATCTAGTTACTAAGCCATAAAAAACCTACCAGACTCTCCATAATAAGTTTTTCCCTTAAATTCTTTTTGTGCTATTTCTTTCGTCATATAAACTTTATATTTGTATATTGTCTTTTCTGTATTATAATTTCTATTGTAACATACTTTTATTCTTGTATCTTTCGTCCTTTGTCTTGATGTCTTTTCGTACATCAGTTAGAAATAATGTATTGTACTGAAGGGACGTTTTGACGTAAATTACTATTCAAATAAATAAATAAAGTCTCGAACGTATCGTGATAATATCGATGCAACGCGGCCAGTCACGTCTGCGTTCAGCGTGCCACGACGTGCGTTGTCTCTCCTCATTTTTTTCCCTTACGAAACGTCGAGCCGCGATTTTGTACGAGCGACCATCGAATGTATCGCCTGACACTCACGTGACGCGAAATCGGAGTGCGGGCCGAGTTCACGGTGCGTGACTGCTGCTGTCCGCTGCCGCGCGATGACCCCCTGACATCCAAGACTCAGTTCTGCTTTCCAGTATGACGGACCTACGGAGAAAGTATTCTTACTTTATTCCTTACTGTGGCGCACAAAGTGGTGAATATGTTTCAGGTGAGACGTGTTGACCCTTCAACCGTCCGAACTGCCCTCTTTCTTTCCAGCTCATCGCTGTTCTTCGCGAGAGTATTATTTATACAATTGAGAGTATTATTTTTATATAATTTGCGTTCATTTCAAAATTTAAAGTGCAACATACATTTATAGCAATCAACGCCCCTTGGTACATTCGTAACGAAGACCTTCACACAGACCTCGGAATAGATATGGTGGAAGATATGGTTGTGGTAGAAGTCAAAAGATTCGCGCAAAAACATAAAGAAAGACTCCAAAATCGTCCTAATACAGCATTGCTACAACAGCAACAGTTCAACTACTGGATCAAAAGGGGATAGTTAGAAGACCCAAGAGAAAAAAACCGCTCGAATAGTACAATAACATAAAGTCTGACCAATTTATTATATCTTGAGATGTTCCTAATGGGAAAATCTTACTCGACAATCTAGTAGTAATTTAAGTTCAAAATAAAATGTAGTTAGTCTGAAGATTAGATACATTGTTAATCTATTAATAAAAAAAATTGTATAGCAATCATTAATATATATTCATTAATGCGTAGAAAATTAGTTTATAGAATCGGCTGAAAAGAAACGCGTTCTTGAGGTAAACTCGACACAGAATCGCAGCGGGTTAATTTTCTTTCGTCAGAAATATCTTTCCGTCTGATGAAAAAGAAACGTAATTAGTCGTACACAGACAGGCATATAATAACCTTAGCACGTATAATAACACAGATCTGCAAAATTTCAAAAACTTAATACGTTTTGAAATTGAAAGCTATTTCCGCTGTAATTTTGTCTGCTGAATACAAATACTTGAAATTAGAAATTCTTAGAATTTCCTTAGAATTAGAAAGCCTTAGAATTTCTCTATCACATCACAGGTTTTCACTCTATCACAGGTTTTCAAGATAATTAGGTTTAATTAGCCAAAAAATGCCGATTTTCACTATATTCAACCGATTATTGCTAACAAAGTAATTTTTTTTAAACAAATTCGCAAACGATATCTTAATGTACTATTCTTTCCCTTTAAAATTATATAAAATTTTTTATTTCACGATTATTTTTAACAAAGATACTGAAGTTTATTGATATTGAAGTCTATGAGACTCAAAGCACATTACAGACATTAAGTGACAGTCTATAATTATTATTACCCGCAAATTTAACGTAAAAACATTGGAAATTTGATTTAAAAAATGACAGTAGAATTTCCTAGAAAATGTTCACCATATGAACAATGATGTTTAGTTGGTATATATAGTATATACCATATGATATAGCATTATAAAAATAACTTCTAAAGAATCCTATCTTTGTGCTTTCATTTTTTCTCACTGTGTACTATAAAGTACTATATTTTCTCTCATTTTATTGGTTTTAATTTTTCATAGTTTTCATAATAATAAATTTATCAATTCAAGTCATGCTATAGAAATAGACTGTCACATAATGTTTATAATGTGCTTTGAGTCTCATAGACTTCAATATCAATAAACTTCAGTATATCCGTCAAAAATAATCGTAAAATAAAAAATCTGGTAATTATGCAGAATAACGGACCTCCGATTACCTTGACCTTGATATATGTTGTAAAGGTCACCCTCTTGAATAACTCTCAGAAGGTTTTAGCCGCCGTTCATTGTTTGTTAAAAAGTTATTGATGAAAGAAGTTCGAAAAATATATTACAATTTTTCGATACTGTGTACCGTTAACGAGCAATATCGAATAATAACTGCAATATCGAACGACTAACGGAAAGCTGCACTCCCCGCACCCCCCTCCAAACCTAACCTAACTTATCATTAACACAAAAGTTGAACACTTTAATAAACAACAACTGACGCTTAATGTGACGATAGGTTGGGTTGGGTTAGTATTTAGAGGGGTGCGAGGGGCGCAGCCCCCCGCTAGTCGTTCGACCTTTAATTTGTTTGTAATAATGTTGGGTACAACATTTTTTGCGCACAAATAATTTAACAACTCGATACTTCTCGTCATTAATGCGAGAAATTCAAAGAATTTCATTTTTCAGCAGTCGAACGGTAACTATACGAAAGACTGTTGACAAAATACTGGCTTACAAAATACTGGCTTATCATTCCTTACAAGTACGTTTCATATGTCTAATATCAACAATAACTTATTTCATTCCGGTAAGAAATGTAAACAAAATAACTTTTACTTATCGAACAATGTGACAATACGAAACTACAATATCAATATATATAGTATCAGAAAATTACATTATATTCATTACACTTTCTTTGTTAATAACTTTTTAATGAACAACGAGTGACGGTTAAAACTTCTTGAATATTATTTAGGATGGTCAACTGTATAATATAAAGAAAAGATTATTAAATCGAAGAATGGTCCGTTATTCTGCATATTTACCAAAAATCTTATATGATTTTAAAGGGAAAGAATAGTACATTAAAATGCCGTTTGCGAATTTGTTAAAAAAAATTACTTTGTTAGCAATAATCGGTTGAATATAGTCAAAATCGGCATTTTTTGGCTATTTAAATCTAATTATTTCGAAAACTTGACGTGATAGAGAAATTCTAAGCGGACGAAATTCTAAAATTTCGGCGGACAAAATTACGTAGAAAATGACCTTTGAAATCCAAAACGCAAAATCATGCAGACCTGTGTAATTGATGTGGATTATATGAATATATTATGTTACTATTATAAGATTATTATACTATACAAGGTGATTCAGGACCTCTGAGATAAATTCTGAGGAACGATAGGTCTTGCAGGGAGGACCCTTTTTGTCGGATCACCCACGTTCTGACGCGTCGTTTACGATCGCGCAGACAGATCTTATATACAAGGTGTCCCGAACCTCCATGATGACCCTTGGTGAGAACGTAGAACGGAGTGAGGTGAGCAAGAAAGTCCTGCGCTATTTTGCGATCTTCGCAATAATAGTCGAGATATTAATGAAAAAAGATTGGTGAATGATCACCCACGATATGGTAGATGAGCTGTAGTGGGGCCATCTGTCGTTGTATACTTATACATTAAATCAAACTGAACAAAAAAGTCCTTTACCATTTTGTAAATTATCATAGATATAGATTTTTAGATATTAATTAAAGAAAATTTATGCATTATGGTATACAATCATATATGTAACAATTTTCTTTAATATTTAAAAATGTATGTAGTCATTTGCAAAATGGTAGAAGACTTTTTTGTTCAGTTTGATTTAATATATAAGTATACAACGGCAGACGGCCTCACTGCAGCTCATCACCATATCGCGCGTGATCATTCACCGTGATCTTTTTTCATTAATATCTCAACTATTATTGCGAAGATCGCAAAATAGCGCAGGACTTTCTTGCTCACTTCAATCCGTTCTACGTTCTCACCAAGAGTCATCATGGAGGTTCGGGACACCCTGTATATATGTAACATTTATTACAATTATGAAATAGATTATTCATTTATTGTTTCAAGTACACTTGCAAACAGTTTACAGAAGGTGTTCAAAGTGTGACTACCTTGAATCCAATTGTATTCATGATACTGTCAGGCTCTATCGAACATTTGAAATTTGTATTGAATTTAGTCAAAACGCGTATTCTCTTCGTGACCTTTCTGCGCGCAGTTAGGCATTTTCGTCGCAATGTTGTGATTTCCTCTGTCTTGCAATACACAGGTTTATTATTTGTGCTTTTCGCGTGCTTGGTATCGTAGTGTTGCAGATTTTTATGATAATTGCTATTGCGTACTTCGCCATATCTTCTGAGTTATTGCCATGGCTTTCCTTTTCAGCTTTACATATCACGCATCCGCTCAGTGTCAAGTTTTCTAACCATCCATTCACAATTCATTATATGCAATCTTTCCCGCGTTTGCATTCCTCGATTTTCGATGATCATGTGTATATATGTATACAATAACCTTAATGGATAGTATAACGCTGGTCAACGAATAATTTGTCATTTGATGAAATTTTTTGATGTGTTTTTTATGTATTTTTTGTAATACAGCGGGATGAATTGAATAGCGGGGGAATTGAATAATATTAAGCGTTTGCGACAATTTCAGAAAAATATGATATATAGCACAAAAGTATGAATATATAGCATGCTAATCTCAAACATAAAACAAGGCGTCTCATATTTTTCTGAAATTGTCGCAAACGCTTAATATTATCCAAATTCCCCTGTTATTCAATTTACTTCGCTATACTCTATATGTGAAATATTTGAATTGAATTAGGCGCGTTTGGTTAAGTCGAGGCAGCGTCGCTCGCCAATCGATGCGTGTTCGATGTTCGCGCAGGCATGAGAGAGAAAAGCGTGCGCCATCTGAGTAGAGTGTGTGTCGAAGAGACTCGCCGAGGAGAAGGAGTGTGTGTGTGTGTGTCACAGTGAACTTCGAGTTAGAGTTACGTTCCGCTACGCCGATTTAAGAGATTGTTCTTTCCTTGTATTACACTCGGGCATACCTAATACAACTTTATACATATTCCTGACGATAAAGCATTACTCTATTCTTATTTACCATATTCTCTACCCTGATGAAACAAAGCTAACATATATAAAATTAAAAAATGAACTCAGAATTTTTCTCCGTTATCCATAGTTTTTCTATGACGATCATCTAAGATTTATTATATTATATAGGACATTCCACTAATTTGCAAGTCAATTTAATTCAAAATTAATTTGTTTTTATATTGAAATACTACCAGTACTAAGTTTTTTTATACAAAGTCCCTCTATTTAAATTTCTTTATTTCTTAATTATTTTTTAATTCAATGCCAAAATACTATATAGATCACATAATTTGATACATGTGACAAAAAATTTTTTTACTATAATTATAAAGAGGTTATTAATATCTTTTTTAATTGTACAAATTTGTCTCTAGACATTGACGTGAAGTTATCACAGTGACAGATTATCGCTTTTGCGCATTGCTCTCGCTCGTCTTTGCATTATCAATAAATCAATAATGCGTACGTTTACAAAATTTTAAGAGCCTAGTTATACTGCATGTTGGAGTCATTTTGCCGGTTAATGCACATTGAACAATCCTGAAAATCCCGCGAGGGGCCCCGCGGCATATCGTATATTTATATTGCCTGCGCAACTCATTACGTAACTTTTTTCGATATTCTCCCCCTTATAACGTTCCCTTAAATATGAGCATCTGTCTGATCGCGAACATAAATAATCGCACGACGGTCCTTAATTTCACGTAATTCAGGTCGCGCTGGTGTTATTCACTGCTCTCGCATTGTATTAATATTGCACGTTAAGCTCGGCCACAGAAAGAGCGAAAGGGATTAAAGGCCGAAATCAGGATGACATCTGTCGATTGTGTACGAAGAAAGACGAAAACGAAGTGAAGCGAGGCCAGACCACCCGTACAGTCGTTCTCCTGTGATCATGTAAATTCGCATGCGCGTATCAACGTTTAATAAAGCTGGCTATCCGTCACTTAAAATTACGGGCCATGTGCTCGCGCATATTTTCGAACGTCTCAATCGCAAATGCCGTCGTGAGTTACTGAATGTCTCGCAGCGAATTTGATATTTTCGCCGGTGTGCGCGCACACCGAGAGAGAAAGAAAGAGAGAGAGAGAGAGAGAGAGAGAGAGAGCGACGCTTATGCGTTATGTAAAGACTGGTCCACCAAACTCTAAGGCGACGCGTCAAACTTTACGTCTCGTTCCACATCCATACATTATTCGCGCGAGGGGAGTCAATGTACCGCGCAAATTCCCACTCGAAGGTGTTCCGTCGACCGCGGCTCTCCCTCTCCGTCCCTCACTCCGTCTGTCACTCTCTTTTTCTCTCGCTTATTAGCCACGGGAATGCCACAGTTGCGTCAACGGTTTAATTGTTCTCTATTCCGTTAAAGGAATATAAATCTATCCGTGAACGATTTCGTCGCACGCGCGCGTGCGCGCACTCGGTCGTTACGTTACACTGTGTTTTTCTACCTATCGGCGGCCCCTATCAACCTCGCGGTTAAGAGAGAACGTAGTAATTACGGATTAGGCTTTTTCACCTGACCGAGAACGATCTGGCGGCTGATCATGCGCGAAGTAAATATTTATTAGGACGACGACAGGTTATTGGGTAACCCCGAAACGGGCACACGATGTGCACTCGCGTATCTCTTTTACAAATAGGGCGATCTTGCGAAATTGAAATCTATGCAATGCTGGGAAATATTTGGGAAGTGCAGAAACGTCGATATAATTTTAAACAAGGAATCTCAATTTTCTATCTACTATTTTGTATCTACTAGGATAGAAAGAAAATAAAAACACTTTGGCGATCTGGTGAAAAGTATGCATTTACCCACATAACACATTTTTAGGATCTTATTAAAATCCAGGCAGATAAATAATTATGAGTTCTGGTTAAAAGTGTAATGATTCAAACATACGATTCCAAGTGACAAACTCAAAATTTTCCCAAAATTCTTTTTGGCCTTAAGATTGAACAAAACATATGTTGACGGAACACTAGGATTGAAAAAAACATATATATATATATATATATATATATATTGAATTTTCTAAATAATTTAATCGTTTAATAAAATACTTAAAATGTTTCAAAAATATTTTACTTTTTCTCTATTCTATTAAATACACAATAGTTGATATAAAACTG